GTCGGCTCTGTTCATACCCGGCGATGCGTCCGGCGGCAGTCCGGGATTGGTGTCGCATCCGAAGCCGCGAGCGGGGAAGGAGCGCACGAGTCCGGTGATGGAGAGCAGGCATGCGGTGGTGGAGAGAAAGACGGTGCAGAGGGTGCATCAGCGGAAGACGGCGGCCGTGCCTGTGCCTGCGCCGTTGGGCTTGCCGGGGATGCCCTGAGCTGCGTACGTACGCTAGGCGGGCGGGCTGGCCGCTTGTGATCTGGCGGCATCATGATTGCGATGTCAATGGTGTACCGGTGTGCGTAGACAGCTCGAGGGCCTGTGATGTGCTCGTTTACAGCTTTACTGATTCCTTTCCTTAGCAGCTTTGTGCAGTGTCCTCATGATTATTGTATATACAGGGACTGGCCAGCGTGGAATGGAATGGAATGCAGGACGTAGCGTCGATTGTTACGATTGTTGTGTTGTTCCTGGATTGAGTAGGACGCGACGGGACGGGAGATCTTGTGCGTGGAAGATCTGGAGGAGGACTCGGCGAGATGGATGAAAGCCGGTGGGATGACAAATGGTGATTTATGTGCAAGGGGATAGTATGGGATAGCGCATGCGTCTTGCGCGGAATCGCGGTGGTCTGCGCGTTATCTTGGCTTTGCAAGGACTGCAGCCAAGATAACTCGTAGCCGTTCTCACGTTTCGCTTCGTCCTCGAGCTCAAGCTCAAGCTCAGGACCCGTGATCGCCTTCCACTTCGCGGGGGAGAGTAACAACAGACGAGGTCGCTTACGGACGAAGGGGACGAGGCGACGAGCAATGAGCGGACGTGCGCTGGAGTTCACGGGCGCGATATGAGTGCGAACGTGTATATTGGTGAGTACCAAATATACTACAAGATATGTAGAACATACCTGGAGTTCACGGGCGCGATATGAGTGCGAACGTGAACTCCTCGAGATGAAAAAGTCTGCTACTAGGCGGCGGCGCATGGCCGGCTAAGTCCGAAGTCGATGCGCGCCGCGCGTACTAAGTGTCAATCTGTACCTCTAGTGTAGTAAGAAAGGTATTAGAAGGTTCGTTTACCATACTTTCTGTCAGAGAGTAGATTGCCCACTGGGACGTACAGCGCTACATCATTGCATGCGCCACCTCAGGCTCAGGCCTCAACATCCCTCACATAGCAAGAGCGGGATCACATCACCAGATCACCGCCGATCGTCTCGATGCACCGCGCGCCATGTTCAGCACGCCTGGCGTGGAACGAGGATGTCACCCTTGCACCGGCGCGCGGGCGGGTCGGACAGCCGGTACCAGAGTACTCTCCATGTCGCGAATAAGTGAAGTGTCTCTGGCCCGACCGTCGTCAGCGCGATCTGATCGACGTCCGTGGAACATGGCAAGGCAGACGAGATGTGTCCGACCATCGTCAGACCGGCGGTCTGATGCGCAGAGAAGAGCGCTTACGTTAGGAGGAGACCGCCACCGCCTGGAGCGCGGCGGTGCGGATCTGCTTGTGCGTCCGGTCGGCTGCATGACTCGGAGAGCGCGGTTCAGCGGGTGCGAGGAGTTCAGGCACAAGCACGCCTTCAAGGACGCTCGGATATGGATGCCCCTCACCGAGAGCAGGAGATCTGCGCGCGGGGGCAGTAAATTGGACTCGAAGCACGTTTGCGCATGTTCTGCTGAATAAAAACAACGCTTCGACGGTGATTCTTGTCGCGCTTTCGCGGCGGCCCTTGTACTTGATTGAGGACGACAGTGCTTTGGTGAACAATCATCATATTTGGAGATACGCCAGTGGTACGATTGTCTGCATAAACGCCAGCACAAGCGGCGTCGTTCATCCGTAATGCGGCTTTTTGTCGGTAGTGAATATTCGCGATGAAGGCCACTGGTCTTATGAGCCACGGACGAGTTGATAGCACACTCGCACGGACAAAAGATAACGCAGGGATTAGATTGGCCTCAGGTCATCTATCGTTGATTAATGAAGGAACGAGACGGCGTCTAGCAAGAGCTTTCAATAATGACCTCTGGTGGACTCCAGCAGTTGCCAGCCGCACTAAGGCGTCGGCGCTCGCAACCTGAGTATAAGGAACGAGTGTATCTTCCTGTATCAAGGCTGATTCATGAGCCTACTCGCAGCCAAGTCGACCGGGCTAGCACAGCGAATGGTGACCAAAAGTACCGCCGCCATTCCTGGGCAGTTGTGATACTATAGGTTCGCAGCAAAAGTTCTCCTCGGCTATTGTTTGAACTGACAATAATCATACTCTGCAAACAATGGCCATGTACTCCATGATCCCGTCAGGTTCACTTGAACCTGAGACCGAGTTCCTCCCATTTCGTCCTCGAGCTCGGGTATGCTCTAACATATTGCGCCATACGTCCTCTGCCAGCCGCCACGAATGCCTCGGATAGCCATGCGACTCCACTCCTCCTGATGCTGACGCCTCGCTTCTTCAAGATCAGCAGAAGCTCCTCGATATCCCTGCTGTCGTCGTATTGCTTCGAGACCTTCCAATATTGCGGTGAGTCCCGATGATCGGTCCAGCTCTGTAATTTCAGAAAGAAGAGCAGGTCGAGCGGCATGACGGGTAGTCCGGATATGCGGCTGATGCGATCTCTTGGCACGTCCGGGATATTCATCACGCCCGGTATGAGCACGTCGACCTTGCACCGACGCTCACGTCCATAGGTGTACCGCGTAGGAACCTTGCACCAGAGAACTCGATACGCAGCATTTAGGTCCTTCGCTGCCAAGGTGTAGAAGTCGGGATCGGCCATGACAAGCATTCGTTTCAGGGTCTCCTGCCCGTACGCCGCCGTCAACACGACCAGATCCACGTCCTGCGCAAAGGCCCATCAGTACGGCTCTGACACTCGATCGCGAAAGACTATAACGTACATTCGGAGTTCTGGTAGTCCCGTACAGCGCAGATGCTGTACCGCCGGTCAGGCAACATGCCAGGCCGTGTCTCTCGAAGACCACGATGGCATTTCGCGCGATGTCGCGGATTTCTTCGTGGGTCGGACCCCGTTGCATCGAGACGAGACTAAGCTCGAAGGGGCAGTCGCGAAGAGCAGCGATGGGCGATGGCCCTGCCACCCTGCAGGATCCTGGATAATAAACGCCCCAGAAGTATTCTGATCCCACCTTCTGCGTTATCGCTTGCAATCGATGTTCTGAGCTACTTTTCAGGCAATTTGAAAGACAGTCCCGCTATTCTGGTTTCACTGGACGTCAGCTGGTCGAGAAAGAAATGGACCGATCGTCGTGCAAGCTATGCAGATGAACGATTTGGACTTGATGTTTCTCGACGTAGCACTCGTTGTGAATTAGTGCGCGCCTGCAACGCTGGCCATGGGAATCTCTCTCTCTCGAGGAATACATCGAATCCTTCTCGAGATCCCTATACGGTTCGAGGAAGTATCCAGCTGATGTGTCGTGAGAGAGAGCGCGGATGCAAAAGAGATCACTTTGAAGCTTATCGGCGACCATCTACATCTGCTCAACGACATTCGATAGTCGACCTGGAACCTGACAAACGTGAGTGCTGACTCATATTTCAGAGTAACGTGCACAGCCGAATCCATGACGGGGGTATCGATGCTCGGAGATGTTCGCGATTGTCGACTGACGCCAGAACGCTTGCCGATGATGGCCACCAGGATGACTGATAAACGCACCATCCATCAGTAATCCTCGATCACGACATGAAGGAAACCCGCGTCAGCAACGTTCCCCACAGGCATGAGCGTCACCCGTCAAGATATTCGCAGCTGATCCCGCTCTCGCCGTTCTCTATTCAGGAGTTATTGTATTGGTTACGGAATCAGCAGTTTGGGGAAGATGTCGATATATATATAGAGGCCAGAAGCACGCTTTTCAGTGACCGAAATGTTCTAACGCTTTGTCTTCAACCTCCGGTGCTCCGGATCCTAGCCGGGGGTGGTTTCTTACGTCGAGGACTTGTACGTCGATCCGGCCATCCGTACATCCGCACACTCTCCGGGGTCAGGGACAGAGATTCGAAAGCATATCTGAATGTTTTTCTACTGTTTGAGACTTGCGACTTTCGATGCATAACGATATCTTATGCCTTGAATATGCACTTGACGGATGCATGTGATGCCGATATTTCACATCAGTTGAGATCACAACAATCCACATTCAGCAATGATGCTCACATTAGCTTTGTGCAGACACATAACGGGCGACATTGCTCGTCGGGAAGCCAACAATGTGCCACCTTCTTGCTTCGAGAATCGCCTTTATGAATTCGAAAATCCGGGTGTAATAGCGCACGGAAGCGTTTTCGACCCATTTAGAGTGGTCTTCCCCAGAGTTTCAGACATAGCCGTTGCGCAACCGGCAGCAGTGTCCTGCTATCTTATTCATCATTTTCTGCCGTGCCCACACGTAAGAGTCTGCCGCCCTGTCGAACCTTTGTTCGGCCTGACGACGAGCTCTCGAGGAACGTCAGTGATGCCCAAGATACCCGGTATGAGCGCATGGACCCTGCATGAATGACTGCACTGGTGGCCGTTGTGCTTGGGAGTCTGTGAAGAAGAACCTTGCAAGAAGCCGTGAAACGTAGGAGTCACGATCGTCGTCGACGAGCATCTGTACCTGTTTCAGCTCATCTGGTGTGTATTTCCCGGACAATACAACGATATCAACGTCCTTCGACGGTAGCAATCTTGGAGCCCAAGATCGTACGTACGTTGCAACACCTCATATGCCGTACAGCTCGTAGCCTGCCAGTCCGGCGAAGCGAGAAGTGAGCCTGTGTTCTGCGAAGACATCCACGACCTTGCGTGCGACCAGGACGATCTCCCCGGAATTCGGATCTCGCGTTGCCGCGGCTTCACCTTCAATGCCGTAGAGTGGGAGTGAGTCGAAGCCTGCGCAGTGTCAACGATGATGGCGGGTGGTCTCAAAACATGCGGCTATATGCACGCCTCCTCGTTATCGCACGCTATCAGCTTCCGAATCGCTACCAATGGGCAGCAGTATACTCACAATTGTCTACTCGGGAGCAGCCAGAAGGGCCAATGTTCGTAAGGGTTGTGTGAAATTGCTTGGTTCGACTGTGGATGATACAATACAGCACATCGATGTGGGCTAACGTCTCAGCGTGAAGATCCATTCGCAGCGCTGCACTGCCATGGAAGAGTTCACAGGGTAATACCAAGCACTTCTGGCGGCTGATAGTGCATACGAAATACCTTTCAGAGAGTTGGAAATTGCAAAAGTGAGCTTCTAGCCGTCTCATTCGAACGTGACGGAAAGACGTACGTAAGTAGAAGTACATCGCCCCCGGATCGCTGCAGATGATGATCATATCAATCACATCCTCTGAAAAACGTGGTGGCGCGATGGTGGCCAGCAATGCGCTATCAATCAGCACACGCAGGGAGGCGCAATGTAGACCGAGGACGTGTGAATGAACAAAACAACGTTCGCTGCGCACAGCCTACGTCAAGCTCGGATGGCCCTAGTCTGAACACGGTATGATGAGAGCCCACGAAGCTCGATGAAAACCAATTAGCATGTCAGGAATTGAATGCGTTCTGTCAAATGTCAGGCAATGGTGCCACGCAAAGCCCGAATCGATGTAGAAGGAGATTCCGCGAGATACTGCCAATCATTGAATTGCTGCCTGTATAGTGGCGCGCCAGCTAGATCAAGCATCAGTCATGAGCTTCTACATATTACCACGATGTGTAAAAGGTAAAGATATAACGAATGCATGTGTATCAAGAAATGACTGTGGGTATGCAAGTGAAATCAATCCAATCCATGTAGATGAATATCCTGAATGCAACATGAGCCTACGGACGTTGTGAACGAGGCGAGGGTTCATTACTCACCTGTCAAGTAACTGTTCCCATCATCATCCATCACCGGTATCCAATAGCCCTCCAGTTCGTCAACGTGTTCGGGAATGCCGCAACGTACTCTTTGACGCGAGGCATAGCTGAGTCAACGGTGGCCATCGGGAGCCACGCAAGACTGTCCTTGCTGATGCTTTCGCCTCGGCTCCTGGCGATCGCTAGCAACTCGGCGATGTCGCGGACGTCCTCGTCATGCTGCTTCGACTTCATGTACGCAGTGTACGATCCGCGACGATCCGACCAGATCTGGAGCTTCATGAAGACAAGCAGTATGACTGGCATGACTGGGATCCCATTGATGCTGTTGATCTTGTCCTGCGGGATGTGGGGGAGATGAAGTGTTCCTGGGACGAGGATATGAAAGATGCAGCCACGCTTGCGCTCATTGGGCCGATAGTAGAGCTTGCTGCAGAGAAATTTGTGGGAGCTGTGCGTGTCCTTCGCGCTTGCGAGGTAAAATGTCGTGTCAGCTTTCGTGAGCAGCTGCTTGAGCTTCTCAGGCTCATAGGCGCGGGTCATGACCATGAGGTCTACATCCTGCCAAACGCAAGCCAATTCAGATTCGCTTTGGGCAATTGACGTGATGATTATGAATCATACGTACGACAGGACGTCTGGAGGTACCATAGAGTGCACATGCAAGATCACCCACGACGCACGACGAGAGATGGGATGACTTGAAGACTGAGACAGCCTTGGAGGAGACCTCCGCGAGCTCCTTGACACTGGCTGGACGTTGCATGGTAGAAGACAAAGGAGTATGAAGAGCTTTCTAGCAAATCAGGAGTATGCGTAGTATCATAAGGAGGTGAGGGTCTGCAGGTCTGCGCAGTGTGCTTCATGATGAGGCGGGGAACCTGGCAGTGGTTTGTCGCCACAGCGACATGCATGTTCCCTTCAGTTCGGTTCGGTTCGGTTCGCACCCTTGTGGCTGACAGTTTCGCCACCGAGGCGCCTCGGCTATATCTCTCGCCTTTGCCTCAAATCGCTACCGTGCTATCCTGAAACCTTTTCGTCGCTCAATCTGGTGCGACCAATTCCAAACGTTGCTAAACTCTTCGCTGTGGGAGCGAGATCTTTAACCGTCTGCTGGAAGCAAGACAGCATGTGCGACCGAACGGCTCGTGAACAAATGTCAATTGGCGAATCTTGACTGTTCAAAGTTCATCGAGCATGGACATGAACGTGGGGTTTTCTCTTTGGCGTGCCTGAAAGTAGAATCTTGAGAAGCCTGGCCGAGGCCCTGCTATGGATGACTCCGTAATTCGTATCAGAGCCGTTGCCCTCTATCTCGCCTGCGATGCGAGACATGCAAGCCAATTCCGTGCACAGCAGTATTTTTATAGCCTTTGCATACGGCGTCCGAAGCATGAACCCTCCACCGAATTTTCTCCGTGTAGCCAAGGCATTCATTTGCAACCTCCGAGGATTTAAACTCTCTTGGTTCTCACTGTGCTATAAATACTTCTGGTCAGTTCCTGTCTTCCAACGGCCTCTTGCATGCTGACGGCCATCTTCATCAACTCTTTGCCACCCCGCCTTTCTGAAAATCAAAGCAAGCCACTGTTTGTTTCCTTGCGAAGTCAATTCTTGAAAACATCTTCACTACCGATACGGGTATCTGAACGCTGCTTCCTTAAATTGGCACTCTCGAAGTCACGATGGGTTACCAGCTGTCAAGTGATCTTCTGGCGTGCCTTTGCTATACCGCAACCTATGTTCAGTTATTAGCCGCAGTCGCGGAGTTGAAAGTCGTCAGTAGTTCGCTCAAAGTTGTCCCAATGCATACCCCGTAACGCCGCTGCGGTCTCATCCAATGTCTCGCAACTGCAAAGTCCACTGAGCTATGTTCGATTGCTACCAATGACGGTCTACAGCCGACGACTCGCTTCTCGAGGAGTCCACGGGAAAGCCGTTGGCATCGGCGTTCCGCCTTACTCACACTTGGCAGAAGAAAACCAAAGCTGGTTCCTCCGTCAGGCACTGTTCACAGCTGACTCCTATTCACAAATGTCTACTTCTGCAATTAATGGCTCCCGAATGCCCAAGTAATGGCACTTCTATCCTATCACGACCCGCAGGTACGCCACACTTAATGTTATCTTCTTGTATGACGTAGCGTCTTTGTGGCCCCATGAGCTCGACGATTTCAATTTAAGCCGGTCGCTGGTGATGTTTGGGCGGGCGTTGAATGGTGTCTTGGCCACGCTTCGGTATCACGATACGGTTTGTACTCGCTCCAGCGAATCCGGCGAATTGTGGAGTAATCACGCACGGGCGAATCTCTGGAGAAATGAGCCATCTCCGATCACCTGGTCTCGCATCCTATCGAATGCGCAGGGCTTTGAGAATGTGCTGCTCCGTATAAAGACATCGTGCTTGCTCGATCACGCCGATCTACGGTCTTGCTGTCCGTACTCTCTTCCTCGCTATCTCTCGAAGACGATCTTCATAAAATTAATATGGCTGTCGGCACGACCGTCGCCTCCGAGGCGAGTCCTGCTATCGGGCAGTTGCTGGATCCGAAAAGGAAGTGGTACAACAACCGGCGGTGAGATCGCTTCATTTACCGACAGTCGCGATTCGCGCTCATATTCGCCTCTTCGCGAAGACTTATCACTCTACACGCATGGGTGGTTCTCTTGTAGGTCCACGTTCATCGCCCGCAATCTTACCATTTCTGAATAGTTCCGTATCAGTGTCATCATCTCATCTGCAAACGGCTTCGACGGCAGCTTGATGAACAGCTTCCAGTCTTTATGGCAATGGGAGGGATACTTCAAAACTCCGAATGGTTCTCTCCTGGGTGTTCTGAGCGCTATGCAGGTCATTGATATTTCATAGAAGGCGGTAGTTCCGCTGATGAGCCAACTCAAATCAGAATATCGGATCTCTGGCAGCGTACCCATTCGCGCCGTATCTTTCTGACGGGATCGGCCGCCGGATGACGATCTTCGTCGGCTCGGCTATCATTCTCGTCGGTGTCGGTATCCAGTCGGCAGCGACGAATATGGGCATGTTCATTGGCGGACGGTCAGTGTGATTCATTAACGGGAGTATTCTCAGCAGATTCATTAGACCCAGGTTCCTGATCGGATTCGGGGTGTGCTTTGCTGGTATGATGCGATGTACTGTGAAAATGATGCTCTCTCACTTCTGGTGTAGGCCAATCCGCACCGTTATTGGTCACCGAGATCTCATACCCACCGTATCGCGCACCGTTGACATCGGTGTACAACTCGCTCTGGTACTCAGGAAACGTGATGTATGAGCAGCACCGTCCTTCTGCTGAGCATACTCACATTGATCATGCTTAGCGCATCCTGGACGACTTATGGCACCGCATACATCCCGAACGAGTGGTCATGGCGAATTCCGTCCATAATCCAGGGTATCCCGTCGCTTCTCCAGTTCATTCTCATCTTCTTCGCGCCAGAAAGCCCCAGATGGCTCATTGCCAAGGGCAAGGAAGCTGAAGGCCTGAAGATCCTCGCGTACTACCATGCAGATGGCAATGACCAGGATCCCCTCGTGCAATTCGAGTTCGAAGAGATCAGGGCTGCTATCGCTTTCGATCGTCAGGGTGCGCAGTCAGCCAACGAGACGTGTATCGTGGCAACTCACATGTGCCCCACAGTGAACAAGAAAGTCGGATGGAAGGCGCTTTTCGCCACCCCGGGTAACAGACGGCGCATGACCATTGCGATCGCGATAGGGTGGTTCTCGCAGTGGACAGGCAATGGTCTTGTATCGTACTATCTTAACAAGGTCTTCGACACGATTGGAATCACCAGTACGACCACTCAACTGCTCATTACAGGGTTCGTTCTTGGGCCACTATGATCTGCGCGCGTGACTGAATGATCGCTGCCAGAATCCTTGCAATATGGAACCTGGTCATTTCGATCGGAGCATCTTTCCTGGTCGACCGGGCTGGCCGTCGTCCGCTGTTTTTGTGGGCCACTGGAGGCAGCTTGGTGTTCTTCACGCTGCAAACAATCTGTTCTGCGCAGTATGCGTTGCACGGTAACCCAGCCGCTGCGCATGCGGTCATTGCCTTCATTTTCTTGTTCTACGGGTTCTACGAGTAAGCAATGCTTGGCTAGAGTTTTTCCGGACACCGTTGACATGGTGGCGATTCACAGCTTGGCATTCACTCCTCTCATCATCACCTACACCGTCGAGATCCTTCCGAACTCGCTTCGCGCTAAGGGCCTCACCGTGTATAGCGTTGCTGTCTCGCTCGGGCTGATCTTCAACCAATATGTCAATCCTGTCGCGCTCTCCAGGCTGGCATGGAAATATTACGTGCGTCCCACTGTTCGCAGTTGGCTGCGTTCTGAATTCACAATCCTGCACGGCTATAGATATTCTACTGCTGCTGGATCGCCTTCGAGTTCGTCTTCCTGTACTTCATGCTCATCGAGACGAAGAACCGCACGCTGGAAGAGACGGCTGCACTGTTCGATAACAAGGACATTGCGCAAGCCGTCGTTGCTCCCATGGAGGTGGAGGAGGTCCGCCAAGATGACAAGAGCTATGCATCCGAAAAAGCGGTGGAGAGAGTTGTGGAGGATATTCCAGCCTGACCGCAATGCCAGATGTATGAGATCTGGTTGTGTATGTATTGTATGGACAAAGCCATATCATCGTGCAACGTCCTGTGCATCATTGCCATGTTCCTGTATTTACCTCCCGTAGGTTGTAGGGTCATATGATCGTCATCGATACATCGTTTGGTCGTGATCACAATTTTTAGAGGCTCGCGGAAAGCAAAGATGTGATGGCATGAACAGGTCATAGCACAGACTGCTCTCGTCGCACACTTAACAGATCATATTGCAAGACTTTGAGCAGTAGTCTTGGTAAGGCCACTGCGGGGCCCCGCAGCATGTGGTCAGCCCACGTGCTCAGAAATCCGGAGTCCTCGGCGGGACATCTCAGCCACCGTGCGATAGAGTCGCAAGCCCTCCATCGCTCACCATAGTCTCATCTCCGGCATAAATGCGTTAACCTTAGGAGGAAATTTCTTGATGATGGTTATCACAGAGCCATCAGCGAGCTTATAAGTACCACCTGACACCTGATGTTCAATCCTCAAGGTAAGAGTAAGTAGTAAGAGCCCGGCTTCTAGTAGGAAGGTGTCACCTTTGTTCACGGTTCCTGCCAAGCTGCCTCTGCTCATGACAAGTGAGGGGCTGTCAGTGCCGGATTTCTCGAGTGTGAAGTGAGTGTGCAGCTGCATGGAAATGTATGGCACACTAACTACTAAATGCTACGAGTGGTCAGGTATATGAGCAGATTTGAGCGAGCTACTCGGAGCGAGCATTGGAGGCATATTAGGCAAGATGCAAGTCTCTTTCGTCCGTCTGCTTAGTAAGCAAACGTTGTTCGTATCACTGATGAGGACCCACCGCAGACTCCTCGCCGTCCTCAATGGCTCCGTCAGCTACGTACGAGGAGATCCGCGGGATCGCTCAACAAGCCGTCTCGATCTTTGCCGATTACGGGTACGACTGCTGCCTCTTTGGCAGCACGGCTTGTGCGCTTTACGGCGCTACTCGACGCCCCAATGTGAGTTTTCTCTCCCTCTCAGATTTGTCGATCCTGGGCTAAGGTGTCGACGCTGACCCATAAAAATTTACTTATAGGACGTGGACCTGATCGTCCTCACCAACGAGGACACTGAGGACCTGAAACGGATCCTGGTAAACGAAGACAGCAGGTTCTTCCTTGTCCCATCGCGGAACCCCCGTGCCACCTATGAGGTTCTGTGGTACACTCTTCCGTCAGGACGCAACCGCCGGCGCCGCACCTGCAAAGTCGACATCCTCACCCCCGGCGGGAACCTTGACCTACCCCACGTGCCGCGTCAGCACATCAAGCGGGAGCAGCAGCTACCCGTGATGCCGCTCCTCCCTCTTCTGCTGACGAAGCTTCGCGGATGGACGGACCACCGCGACTCTCACAGGCAGGATATGCAGGATAAGCAGTGGGTTGACGTGGAGGACATTGACGAGCTCCTCGCCATTACGTGCAACACGCGCACGCACATCACGAAGGATAATCTGCGATGGCTGCCGGAGGATTTTGTGGCTGCTTCCCAGGAACGCGCTTTGGAATACGTTGAGGAGTATCCGAACTCGGCCCTGTATTGGGAGACGCTGGGCTTCCATGCCTATGAGTGATTGCAAATGCACAGTGAGTAGAACGTGGACGGTCACCGTTGCGCCTGCTTCCGTTGCTGATTCGTAGCTGTTTACCCGCTTCAAAGATTAGTTCCATCTTCTCTAAATTTCGTAGAAGCTCTTTTCGCGGATATGGATGCTGCTATACCCAGGAATCTGGCCGGATACTACTACTTCTCTTTTCATAGAATGTACATTGCAGTCTGAGCATGTTCAGACATCTGGTTTTTTTGGTAGAACAGAACATGTACGAAATTAATGTAGTAGTGGGCAAGATGTCGGACGCGTCCCACACGCGCGGCTCCGCGGACCGCCGATACCGGTACTTTCAGCCACAACCGCGTTTCTGCAATCTCTTTTTCGTTTGCCGTAATCGCCACTCGTTCTGGCCCGGCGACACCTACGTGTCCATCGTAGATTAATAGGTAGATTATGTGGATTTGCAGCTACTCATGTATAGTAGTGCTCGTAGTCCGGGACTTGGAACTCTACAGTGAGTGTCGCAGTCCGTCTAGATCTGCTGAGTAAGCGGCAATTGTTCTTCTTCACAGGGCTGGTTCTTTGCACTGATGAGAACCCACGCAGGCTCCTCCGAGTCAGGACGCCGACGTGGGTCCTCTCAGTCTCTCAGCAATGTCCCCGCCAGCTACAGAGAAGGTGCTCCGTGAGATCGCCCAACAAGCGGTGGCGATCTTTGCCGATCACGGGCACGATTGCTGCCTCTTCGGCAGCTTGGGTTGTGCGCTTTATGGTACTACTCGAAGCCCCAGCGTGAGTTCTCTCTTGTACTTGAATTTGTCGACCTTAGACCAAGTTGTCGATGTTGAACATTGAACCGTAACAACCTACTTGTAGGACGTGGACCTGATCGTCCTCACCGACGAGGACGCAGAGAAGCTGAAAGAGATCTTGGTAGATGAAGACAGCAGCTTCTACCTCAAATCGTCCGACAACGACCTTGTCAGATGGAAGATCCTCTGGTACACCCTCCCATCAGCGCGTCGGGACTGCAAAGTTGACATCCTCACCCCCGGCGGGAAGCTGAACCTCCCCCGCGTGCCGAACCGGCACATCAAGCATAAGCGCCAGCTCCCTGTGATGCAGATCCTCCCGCTTCTGTTGACGAAGCTTCGCGGGTGGACGGACCACCGGAAGTCTCGCAGGAGTGATAAATGGCGGAAGCTGCACAACGACGTGAAGGACATCGACGACCTCCTTCCCATCGCATGCCGCACCGGCACGCACATCAACAGCAGGAGGTTGCGCTGGCTGCGGAAAGGTTTTGTGGATTTTGTGGCCGCTTCGCAGAGGCGCATTTATAAGTACGTTGAGGAGTATCCAGACTCTGCGGGCTACTGGGAGAGGCTCGGCTTCGATGCCTATTCAGATGAATGCAAATGTCCGGTGAGTAGAACGTGGATGATCACCGTTACGCTTGCCTCCGTCGCCGCCTCGTAGGCTTAGCTGACTGCCCGTTTGAAAGATTTGTTCGCGATGCCACTAGATTCTTTGGCAAGTCGTTTCTTGGATACGGTTGCCATAATATCTCGCAATGTGGCCGAAGGATAATACTTCTCCTTATATCTGGTGGACATTGTGGTCTGACTGGGTTCAGACTTCTGGTGTATGTAAAACAGAACATGTATGAGTAAAAGTCTATGGGCATGACAGGGTATGGTATCTGGGTTTCTATAGGGAAGCTATGGTTAGGGCTCGCGCACCAATTAACTGAAATGAGTACGAGAGGTTCAGTTGCTATTGGACGCTGTTCGCCCAGTCCATCATGGCGCCCCAACTGTCGGCGAACAACATCGAGCAATCATTTACTTATGAAGGCCTTTACTGGACAAAAATCTGAAATGTGGGCTCACCAATACAAGAGCAGAGCTATTTGTCCAGTAAGGCCCATCAAATTTAATGCATCAGCAACTTCCAGGTAAGCCGCAAGCGCATCTAGCCCGTGCCTCTGTGCTCACCATCATCAAGATGCTTCCCAATGTCAGTAGGCTTATCTTGGAGATGAGACTAGGATCTCGATTAATAATACCTAAAGGTGAGCGTGAAGTGCTAAGACATTGGGTAAACCGTGAGAGGATTCAGCTGGATAGTGCAGCTTAGGCTTACCATATTCTGAGCTCAGAAACGATTTGAGGTTGCAAAGCAGTGTTTAGTAGCAACTACGGGCTTGCAGTACGGGCCGGTTTGTGCAGTGACTGCAATGTCCGAATTTCCGAATGCTAGAACTTGGCCAGATCTCTTGAGAGTGAAGCAGCTGTGCAGCTGCCGGAAGAGAGGCAGCACGACTGAACCACTATAAATGCTAAGAGTGAGTGGCAGAATGGGTGAGCATATCTCAACGAGCTACGAGGGAGCAGAAAAATGAGGGGAACCTACTAGTAGCGGGCAAGATGTCTCCTTCGTCCGTGTAACGGGCGGCTCCCCGGGCCGCTGATACCGGTATTTTCAGCCACAAACGCGTTTCTGGCAGCGATCTCTTCCTTATTTCGTTCACCGCAACCGTAGCTCCTTCTGGTCCAACGCATATGTGGCCATCGTGGATGCATAGGTAGATCCTGTCGAGATTTGTAGCTACTCGTGCACCTTAGTGCTCGTTTACAGAACTTGAACCTCTATCAAGCGAGTGTCACAGTGCTAGTAGATCTGCTGAGTAAGCAAACATTCTTCCGTTCGTCGCACTGGGAACCTGTGAGAATTCCAGGGAGGCTCCTCTCAGGACGGCGAGGTGGTCCTCTAAGCATCTCAGCAATGTCCCCGCCGGCTACAGAGGAAGAGATCCGCGACATCGCCCGACGAGCGGTGAAGATCTTCGCCGATAACGGGTACAACTGCTGCCTCTTCGGCAGCATCGGTTGTTCGCTTTATGGTATCAGTCGATGCCCTAATGTGAGTTCTCTCTTCCTATCGAATTTGTCAGTCTCTGGACCAAGTTGTCGATGTTGAACTGTAACAACCTACTTATAGGACGTGGACCTGATTGTCCTTACCGACGAGGACGCAGAGGGCCTGAAACGGCTCCTGATAAAGAAAGACAGCCGCTTCTACCTCATCCCGGCGCGCAAACGAGATGCCGACTACAAGGTTCTCTGGTACGCCCTCTCGTCCTCACGCAGTCGCAGGTGCAAGGTCGACATCCTCACCCCCGGGACGCTCGACCTTCCCAACGTGCCGAGCCAGCACATCAAGCGGAAGCAGCGACTCCCCGTGATGCCGATCCTCCCACTCCTGCTGACGAAGCTTCGCGGGTGGACAGACCACTGGAAGTCTCTTAGGGGTGATAAGTGGCGGAAGCTGCGCAACGATGTGAAGGACATCAACGAGCTCCTTTCCATCGCGTGCCGCACGGGCACGTACATTAACAGCAACAGTCTGCGGTGGCTGCGGGAGGACTTTCAGGATCTTGTGGACGATTCGCAGAAACGCATTTATAAATACGTTAAGAGATATCGGGGCTCGGCGGACTACTGGGAGAGGCTCGGCTTCGATGCCTATAAGTGATTGCAAGTGTACGGTGAGTCGAATGTGGATGGTCACCGTTGCACCTACCTCTGTTGCTGATCACTCATCTGCTAGATCGGTTTCATCACTAGATTTCCTGGAAGGTCATTTCACGGATATGGTTGCTACAATACCCAGGTATCTGGTCGGAGGATATCACTTCTTGCTCTGAAAGTTGGACATTGCAGTCTAATATGGTTCAAACTTCTGTTTTGTGTCAAACAGAACATGTGCGAGGATGAGTCTAAGGGTATGACAGGGGATGGTATCTGGATTTCTATAGGGGAGTTATGATTAGGTCTCGCATACCAATAGCAATTCATGAGTACGAGAGGCTCAATTGCTGTTCTCGTTTATTACGATGGCACCGCTGTTCTGACTGTGTGACCCCGTACTGTTCGCCCAGTCCAGCATGGCGCGCCGACTGTCGACGAACAACATCGAGCCATCCCGCACGTCCGCAAATCTCAGGTGAGCTACAAGCGCATCTAGCCCGCGTCCCAGCACCGCTTCGCGCTCACGCATCTTCTCCCCTTGCATTGCGCTCTTGCATTCGCGCCGATAACGCGTGACACTCGACGCGAGGACGCTGTCGAACAGGCCGAGCACCTCCACGATGCTCTCGCGGGCGGCTTGCTGGCGCGCGAGGTCCGACACGGAGGACGTAGTTGGCCGGATAGCGGGCAGGCTCGGGCTTAGCTGACCCACAGGGTCGCTGGACAGGTACAAGGAGACTTGACGGGTGTACCTGTCGATCATGGAGGAGGCCATCGCATGCGCGATCCTGCCCATGCCGTAGACCCGCTTATGCGCGACGAGATGTTTTAACTTGTGCAGGCCCTTCGCCAGTAGCGTCAGTTCCTAGCACCACAGGAGACTCGACACCCGGAACGCACTTCTAGCATACGCAGGAGGTCTCGGTGGACATTGAGCCACCCAGCGAACAGTTCAGCTTGCAGGAGCTGATCGTTTCGCTCCTTCACACTATCATTGAATGCAGCCCAAGCGTCCTCGACGACTTGCACAGCGAGGCTGTTGATTCTCTCGAGACCTTCATTGTTTTTGGCTAGGTGTTTCAATTGTACGAGCGCCTCGTGGTCCGACGCTGCACAACGACCTAACAATGCGCCGAACTGTGCAGCAGTGGGAGCGCGGTCGGCAAAGGCTCCTGCAGGAGAGACATGCGCTGCCGAAGAAGGTCGTCATGCTAGTAGTCAATGCAGCGATATCATGCTAGCGAGAGACTTACGTTCAGGTGTAAAGGACACATAGAGAGGACCGTTTTGTGCAACTGCTTGGAACTTGGAGAATATGGCTGTCGGCTGTGGCCCGTCCGAGATGACAGCCATCGGCAAGGCTCGCTCGCTCGCCGACAATAGCTGTTCAAGCCTCGTTCGTTGCGGAGCTGCATGTCCAACAGAAGGCAGTTCATCGTACCCCAGATGCTGTCTGATACTCCCCAACTGGACCTCAGCCATGTGCGGCATCACGAGTTGGGACTGTACAGCTGACGCATAGTGAGAGGATGGATAGTATGCGCCTGGGTTTGTTGCCTGGATAGATCCTGCCGGTTGGTTCTGTCCTTGCACGCTTCCGCACGATGAACGCCGTGGTGGACGATTCTCCTGTCCATTGAAGCCATCTCCGGTCAATTTGTTCGACTCGTTAGCATTTACAGACTTGGCGCCGTCTCTCAGCTGGGCAACCCTGCTGACGCATTTGATAAATTCGGCTACCAGCCCACTAGACTCAGCAAAGCCAAAGCATACAGGAACGTTTCTGAGACGTACTATACTCGGCAGAGTTGAATGCCGGCATGGCTATCGGCAGTCGATTTGCTTTGTGCAATGACTGAGCCAGAGGGGCGACGAGGAACGGGGTGCGGATGCTGACTGGCGGCGGGGTGGAGATGTCTGGCATCGTTTGTGATGAGGATATGTGCGCGACAGTATGCGCTGCCTGGACGGTCTGCTTGCTATCGTACTGAGCGTACGTACAATCATTTTCAACTCGAGTCCCGTGCCCGTGCTGTTCGACGGGTTGCGTGGGCAACGCAGCTGGCATTGAGAAAAGGTGCCTTGTAGTTGTAGCTCCGGAGCAGCCTTCGAGTAAATTGATTTCAATTGACACGGGCGCAGCGTCGCGCAGCGGGGACTTTTCCGGGCTGAGAGAGAACAACAGAGCGAGTAGGCTTTCACTTCCTGAAACACAAAGCAAGCATTTATAAGCCATCATACGAGGCCGGCATCGTTCGAATACTTAACGGCACGTACCGTGGTTACCCATCCCACCCGCGACGCGCTCCGCTTTCCACGGAGCCTCCATTGGCTCTTCAACATCCCGACCATCCATGTATCTGGCTTTTTTGGGTGGAGTTTCAGATAACAAGTCCGTATCCTCCTGAACTTGCACAACAGCGCTGTTAGGCGGTGATTCGGCTCCGGAATCGTTCTTCTCAGGCTCGACTCCATCGGAGGTCAATTTGGCGCTGTCGTCTGCGTCGTATATGCGACGCTTGCATGGAATGCAGGCTTCTGGGCACGGCGAGGTCATGATAGTCGTGTGCGCCCTGCGGCGAGCTGCGTTACGGCACTCAGACGTGATCGGTCACGGTGACCGTACGCGTTCCACCCTCAGCCACAGACGCGTCGCGACGCGTTCGAGCGTGTCGCCACACTCGCAAAAGACATATGGGTCCTATATATTGTACATTTCCAAAGACCAGCTAAGCCATATATACAACCTGCATAGATGCTAGGAGCCCACATCGAACCGTCGGAAACATATTGCCCGATTCCCGTAAAGGACAACACCGTATTCAAGGCGAGTTTTACAGCTTTCCTTTCTCCAGCTTCTTCACATAGGCCATCCCAGAACCCAGGCAAACCTGCGCAATGTTAACAATTTAATGTACCGTCCCATAGCCCCCAACTCAAGCACTCACCTTGCCTGTCGCCAGGTTCTTCGTAACGAACGCCACCTCCGTCGTGCCATTCGGGCCTGGGCCTAGCTCCCACACCGACGTCTCCACCGCGTCACCGGGCTTCACAGGCGACGTGAACCGCACCGCGAAGAATGTGAGCGACCTTGGATCGCCTCCGCCGACTGCCGACACCAGAGCGCGCGCGGCGAACCCGAAGGTCAACAGCCCGTGCAAGATCACGCCGCCGAAGCCCGCGGCCTTGCCGATGCTTGGATCTGGGGCAGAGTCAGAGAGCACTACAGATGGCAAGGAAGAGAAACGTGCTGATGTGCAGCATGTTGTAGTCCCCGCTGAGCCGGTAGATGGCCGCCTGCTCTGTGGATGTCTTGTCCTGCACGACCCAGTCCGGCTTGCGGTCCTTCGGGATAGGCTTTGCCTGTGGTGGCCCCGCGACCCGCTTGGAGAAGTTCGCGCCAGTGGCCTTTGCGCCGAGGTTGAAGGTGGCAGACTGCAGCAGAGAGTGAACGTGCGATCAAAGAGAGGAAGGGAGGGAGCACGCGCACGTAGAGCTTTGCATATTCGGTGCCCTTGGCGTCGACTAGGATGGCCTCATTCTCGACGACGACACCGCTCTCTGTCTCAGGTAAGAAGGCGCGAATGACTGTACGGAATGGATCGACGTACTATTCTCGTTGATGCCGACGATACGCCTCTTGAGTTTCCAGCCCTGGCCGCTGACGGGCGGGAGCGACTTGAGGATTTCAATACTTTGCGTGCCGTGAACCTGAAAAGACACATCTATGAGCACTCGTACTTGCGAAGCGTGTAAATGACAACTCACGATGCGGTTTGGGTCAAACTGCGGCAGGCCAGGCGCCTTCTTCCCGCCGCGCATCAGCTGGCGGAAGTCGACAACGTCCTGGCTGGTTCCCTTGAAGCCAAGGACGACAGGGTACGTCGGGAACGGAGCCCATGACTTGTCTAGGCATTCTTTAGCTGTGCTGGCGAGTGTTGTATCAGAGATTCTCACTGAGTTCTATGGGAGGAAGTTAGACTCAGACATACTCATGACGCTGTCAGACGTACCATTCACAAGAGCATAGTCGTCCTTCTTTGCACCGATACCAACAGCATACAGCAGCAGGTCCCTCTGGTTCCATGACACCTGCCCAGCCAAGGTCAGCATGAGAAGTGGGTACCGCGAGGATGCCTACCTCCTGGTCGTCGTCCTGGAATCCAACAGCTTTGGCGAGGTCGACTTGAGACATATCTGCGGCTGCTACGTGTTGCGCAGATGTGAGAAGAGAGAGAAAGACTACGAGGAGAATGTGATTGCCCCATGGGTACTTGGCCGACCCGGTCGGGTCCACATGACTGAGACCGCGTGACATCGACGCGTGTGTGCGCGTGACGCTACGCGTCTGCCATGTGACAGAGTGACACAGGCGAATTTCTTGGACTGCTCCTTCCTGCTCTTGAGATACAACCTGCCTGTGCGCAGGAAAAGAAGGCTTTCTGTCTCGTCTCGACTCCTGGCTGCCTCATTGTCTTGAATCTACACTCGCAGTCATGGCGTCGACATCGAGCGAACCGTCGCACCCGGTGCTCTTCACAACCGAGACACCCTACCCTCTGCCGTCGCAAAAGTTCATGATCCCTGCATCATGGAAGCGATACCAGCTTTCACAGCTCGTGAACAAGGCTCTCTCCCTTTCAAAACCTATACCATTTGACTTTCTTGTACGAGGAGAGATCCTACGAGGGTCATTGGGAGAATGGTGCGCGGAGAAGGGGATCGGTGAGGTATGTCAAAGTCATCGAGCTCTGACACCGACGGTTATGCTCATGAATATGATGTAATGGAATTTCACATCGTAGGAAGAGACGTTAGAGATTGAGTACTTTGAGTCGGTGATGCCGCCGCAGAAAACGTCCAGCCTACCACATGAAGACTGGGTATCAGCCGTGTCGTGCCAACTACCAGGGTGCGTTTTCTGTCCAAGATTCCTATTTGATTTTTGTGTTCTGCTGCTATATGCGCATGCGTGCTGCTCTTTCTGGAGGACTGTGGACCTATGAGGCCCATGCTGCTATGCCGGAGTTCTTGTTTTTATGCTGCATTCAACGCTGATGGATGACACAGCCACTTCCTCACAGCATCCTACGACGGGTTCCTCCGCGTCTTCGACTACTCCCAAAAGCTGCTGCACGCATCCGCCGCACATCAGGCACCCATCACTTCCCTCTGCGTCGTGCCCGCTCCATCCTCTTCCCCATCTGCGTCCACGCAGCTGCTCATAACGGGCTCACATGACCTCACAGCACACCTCACGCAGCTGTCCATTCCTGACTCCGGCCCCGATGAAGAAGTGCATACACGGACGCTCGCCTCACTGCACCTGCACACCGCGGCTGTCTCCTCTGTCTCCTCGAGCGCGTCGGGCTCGCACGTCCTTACATCATCCTGGGACACACTCATCGGAGTGTGGGACACATCGATACCAACGATTGACGAGGTCCCGTTGGATGAAAGTGACCGCAAAAAGCGCAGGAAGGTCGACGATGACGCACAGCGACCACGGCGCAAGGCGCCTCTTACAGTGCTAAAGAGCCACACAGCGCGAGTATCGAAAGCCGTATTTGACCACGGGGCCGGCGAGAAGGCGTACAGCTGCGGTTTCGACTCCACCGTACGGACGTGGGACGTCGAGAACGGCGTATGCGCTCACACGATCGTGAGTGTCTCCGTATGCACCCCAGACTCCCACTGATATTTTTTAAATTGACTCACAGACCGCCTCGTCAAAACCCTTCCTCGACCTCGCACTCACACAATCCGGGAACAGCGCTCTCGCAGCGTCCACCGATCGCACCGTCTGCCAATACGACTTGCGCGCGTCTACTACGTCCGCAATCACGCCTTCCACTGCGACGCTCGCCCACCCGGCGACGCCCTCGTGCATCGTCGTCCCTCCTCCGTCTTCGGATTCAGGACCGGGCGCGGAGCACCAGCTGCTGACGGGCGCGTACGACGGCGTCGTGCGCCTCTGGGACTTGCGCAGCGTCAAGAGCGCGGTGACGAGCTTCAAAGCGTGGGAGCAGGCGAAGGCGGGAAGGAAGGTGCTTAGTGTCGACTGGGCGAGGGGCATCGTGGGCGTTGGTGGCGAGGGAGGTGTAGAGGTATGGCGGGTGGGACACGGAGAACGTGCGTTGCCTAGCTGAGAGTGCGCGATTGTGTTGAGTTGGGATTCCTGGTGTTAGCCGTATTCAGCGATGTCGATGATGGATTACGATGCTAGAATACGATTGGCATCGCGGTGTATCGTGCATAAAACGCTCTGCAGACAGTGCAAGAAACAGTGACGACAGTATAGTGAGGATCGCCGGAGATCTGACTATGTTACATATTGAGTCCATGGTATTTTGGGCGCCCGCGCGCGCTGCTTTCCTTTCTCCCTTTCCCTCCTCCACTAGTCTATGCAAAGAATAAGAAACATAGCGGAAATGCGTAGCGGACGTTCAGAGGTTCGGGTACAGGTTTGCGTCTTTCCGCGCCTTGGTCATAGCTGCCGCGAGAGTAGATTTATCAGTTCTACATGCGAGTTTCTGAGGATCGCGCCGGCAAGGGGACGTACCTGCGATGATGGCTGCTCCGATACCGCTGCCGTCTTCAGCGTGGTAAGTGATGATGTTCCTGTGAAGCGTATCGTTAGCTGCGGTGCTTCTGCACATTTTCAATGAGGGAGTCGGACTCACCGGCCCTTCTCGCCGAAAACATCCACTAGACCCTCATGAATTCTCTCCGCGAAACCGGGGTATTTCTACCTGCCGCTCAGCTGATGAATTCAATGACAGCATAACAGGACACTCACGTTGTACAGCGACCCGTCTGCGCCAACAGCACACCCCTCGTCCAGGTACCCCATCTTGCTCACAATCGCCGCGATGCCGCACGCGCTCAGTCGCGCGGCTCGCCGACCGACAAGCTTCGCCAAAGCGCGGAAGAATTGGCGCTCCGCCAGCGTCGTCTCCACAGCAAAGAAGTACGTGAAGATTCCGATGATCATGAGCAACTCATCGGTGGGGTCACTGCAAGTGATCCGTTAGGACGCACATTCCGTACACGCAAGAGACGAAGATCACACCTTTCCATGAGCGAGAGGAATGCGGTGTCGAACGAGTAGGGAATCTCGAGCTTATAAGTGTTCTGGCCCAGGAAAAGCACACCCTCGTCAATCAGCTCGCAGATAATAAGCCGCAAGATCTCGCCAAGGTACCGTCCCGAGATGAGTTTCTACGCCCGTCGCCATTCCATCAACACGTTCAAACTCAATAAAGATGAACACACCTCGAACGCTTGTTCGCCCGCCTTGTTCGACGTCTCGTCAATGATCGCATCGTACTTCGTCCGAGGCAGGTTCTCGTGCTCGAACGAGTCAAATGCGCCCTATCGAGCGCGCCTCAGCATTTGCAGACCCAGATGGCCATCGATACCTACCCACTCGCAATTAATCGCCATCTGGGCATCCGGATCGATGCCCAGGTGTGCGATCTTCGGGATATCGCCAACTCGCTCCATGTATGCTGCATTGCATCCGGTGCCGAATATGCACGCGATGCGCGTCTTTGGGTTTACGTAGTGCGAAGCGATGAGCGTGCCGGTCGTGTCGCATGTGAGGGCGACGACGTCAGCCGGGACTTTCTGCATAGGAGGGGTATTTAGCGGCAGTCGTGAGGACATATCGGCACAACGCTTACATATTTCTGCAGAGACTTTCGGAACATAATGACGACGTCGTGGCCCTCGGTGTTCGGAGCGCCGAAGCCCTTGGTCCACCGGATGAGCTTACCGTGGTCAATGCGGTCTTGCCTAGCAGCAGGATGAACATCGGCCCTCACACGCATCGCATGAGGAACAACTCACAGGCATGGGTAGGAGAACTACGATGGAACGGATTAGCATACAGACTTGCTCGAACGCGGGACGAGGCACTGACGGTAAATCCAAGCGGCAGTATCTCCCCCTTTATGATCGTGCCTCCGTCAATGTTGGACTCCACGAACGCCTTGAGACACTCCGCACAGAAGTCAAATAATTTCTGTCCATCCTCCTGCTTCTGTTCTTCCGTGAGACGGTACTTGGATTGCGTGATTTCGAACTTGCCCCCGCCTTCGAGCGTTACCAGACAGACACGTAGGTTGGTACCCCCTGCGGTGCTTATTCGCTTCAGTGTATCATTACGAGGAGCGAGCACGTACCGAGATCCACCGCGAGGAAGTTGCCAGATTCCTTTCCCGTTGGCCACCCGAACACATAGGTGGGTATCATCGGCTAAAGTGGAGTGAGGGCATCAGTGGGAGATCAATGGTGCGATATGGAATGTATGGATGAGATCAAGTTGCGAGAATCACAATATCCCTGTTCGAGACGCAACACAATGTGGAAGATCCTGTCGTAGCGTGGCACTAGACTGAGCACGTCAATGGTGTTGCGAACAATACTCGGCCCCCTGATCCTTTCACGGGGGCCGAAGCATCTGACTCCATCTAACCCGGTCTGACCACACGATCAATCAAGGTCAACAGTCAATAAGTGACCGCCGCTCGGACGCATGGTGGTAATAAAAACTCTGATTTCTCGCTGCGGGAAGACCAAGAATATGACATAATTCGTGCGACGGACTTGGTCACGCATTGACTGTGAGACTTTGCCGATGGCCAATGAGTAAGACACCCCATTGATGGGGTTTTGATCGGGGTCTCACTCCGTGAAGAACGTCATTGGAACATGTTCATGATCGGCGCACGTCTAGTCCACTAGAGCTCCCGTTCGAGGATCAACGATAGGCACGCCCATGCGGACGCCGTGCATCACACATCGACGGAGAAACCAGGATGAGGATACGCACGACAATCTGACCACTCTTTGCGAGCCCATTCTCGAGCGAGTCCTTGAAAGCCTCGACTATCATACGCATGCGCTGCGGCGTAAGCGTGAACCTGCGGACGAGGCTGAGCGTGCAATCCCGCCAGAGCTCGCACTCACTCACAATGCCTCGTACTTGCGGAGGTGTTCCGCCATGCTCCTATCATCAACACGGCTCGCTGTGAGAGCAAAGGACGACAGTGAATCGCACGCACTTCTTGGTGGCATGAGGGAGGTCGTCGGCATCGTTGGTCCTGGTGTGGAAAGCAAGGGTCTGTCCGGTGGGCAGCACAACGCTGCCGCTGCCGCGGCGGGAGACGGGCATGGTGTCTACGATGTGCTGGCGATGGGAAGGTGGTGGAGAGAAGGAAACAGAGGGGAGGCGATCTACGGCTCACTTATGACGTTCCTAATAAAGGCGCACGCTACAATCGATCAGTAACTCAATTCTAATGTCAAGTTCAATCTCCGAAAGTCTCATGTGATAGCCCTTCAAACTTGGGTAGAATTCTTCTTATTCACTTCAAGCGCATCTCTTCGCGAGTCTCGATGATTGGCCTCAAGAGCACCCTCAATGTCCATCTTTGCTTCGTCTTCTGAACCTCTGCTCGAGCTGACGAGACATTTCAGGTCATTGACAACTCCGGGGCGTTGGTCATCGAGTGTGTCAATGTGCTCAAGAACAAAGTGACCAACGGCTGGGGAAGTGTCGGCGACGAGATCGTCTGCGTCGTCAAGAAGGCACGCCCCATTGCTACCAACCAGACAAGCTCGGCTGCCGTCAAGGTACGGCGAGGTGACGTGCGGCGCGCTGTGGTTGTGCGCACAAAGAAGGTCGTACACAGACCGGACGGCACCTTTATCCGCTTCGATGACAATGCTGCAGTGCTGTTGAATAACAAGCGCGAGCTGTTGGGCACACGTATTGGCGGTGTTGTCAGTGCAGACCTTAGGATGAAAGGCTGGGCAAAGATTGTAAGCTTGGCTCCAAAGGTGAGCATGTACTTCAAGTAATCTCCCGAAGTTTCCTCAGGTCGGTACCGCCAGGTTGTATGATACGCTCATACCATTGCATTATTGCGTCACACTTCTACACTATCCCGCAAGGAGAAAATGTCTAATGTACATTCCAAGGCCTCGGTGCAGAATCGAATGGATGCAGTACGTCGCCCGATTGCCAATCAGGATTGAAGACCTGTACATAGGACGTATACACGTGGTGCATGCGAGGCGAGAGGAAGCAGTGACGATCGTCAATCCATTTTTCCACGCGCCCTATTTCCGCTTCACCGCATCATGCCGATGCTGCCTTGTGAGGCCTGGATGAAACTTCCCATCCCATCCGCAACTGTTTCCGTACTGATGTTGCTTCCATACCATAAGCACACGATTCACGCAGATGTCTGACAATGAAGCAGCTTTTTGAATTATGAATCATAACTACAGCACGACGATTTCCAGGTAGATTTTACAGCACGGGCGAGAATTTATACAAGCGAACGTCAAAATTGGGCTGCTGGACAGCAAATAAACACCATTCACCAGTCAGCAGGTACGATGTAGCTCACGTTATCCTTCGGAATGCGGACATCGTCAATCCACTTCTCCAGCGCCGTCATGCTGCGCTGGAACAACTCGTACCCATGGTTTTTCTCGCCTCCCCACCCTGTGACGTCCTCGATCACATCTGTGAACGCCTCAAGCTCTGCGAGCTTGTCCTCCGCCGCCTTCGGTACGCTTCTGCTCTCCTTCCTCCAGCGCGTCACAGCCAATGCGAGCGTGTCGTCGAGCCCATCGAGCGTGGTCACGCCGCCCTGGGTCCAGTTCCACACCATGAGTTCGTCGTTCAGGTTTTTCATTTCGGGCTCATGCATCTTAGGCACGTCCGTCGTGTGTGAGGGCTTGCCCTTGGTGTAGAGTGACACGTCAAGGGCAAAGTGCGCCACGAGCGCAAACGCGATGTTGAAAGCGATGCGGTCCAAGCCCATCACGCGTTTCTTGCTGTTCGGATGAGTAGTCTCGAGGAGTGCCTTGCGATGAAGGTCAGATCAGCCGTCGCCGGAGTGCACGTCAGCGTACGTACCCCAGCAAACTCGCCGAAGTGATGGTAAGAGTTGAACCACTGTAGGAACACGAATGTGGGGACCATGCTCATATCGGAGTCCTCCTTGGACTTGGCGTTCCACGCGACCCTGGCGCGATCGGCAAGCAGTTCCGTGAAGTCGGAGATGCGCTGCAGACCCTTTGTGCCCTTCGCGAGCTCTTTGAGCTCCTCGATCGCACTGAAGTCAGACGCTGCGCAGCGCTCGAGGAGCATGGCGAACTCCTGATGGGTGAGCACGCATTTGGTAGGCTTGGGCTTTGAGGCTGACTCCTCAGCAGCAGGCTGCACTGGAACAGGCTCAGAGGCACGTACTTCGCTTGGTGCGACATTCCTAGCAACGATGATGTTGGTTTCATTCCTCTGGGAGGAGACCACAGTTGTAGAGGGACCTGGAGCAGGGTGTTCGTCTCCTTGTACGACAGGCGCTGGCCGCCCTGGAAGGAATTAAGATTCAATGGATTGATGATACTCGCTTTGATAGGCAATTCATACCAGGGATTATAGGAAACATCCAAACGACGCCGAAGTCTGTTTTCTTCAGAACATAGCCAGGCACGTCGAATGGTGAATCAATGGAGGCTTCAGGCTCCGAATCGAGGTCGTTGTGCCGCATGAGTTGCGCTGTGATCGTACGAATAGAAAAATGACATGTAAATAATGCCCTACTCGACAAATGAATGACAGACAGTGTGTTTCAGCGGCAGACTTGGCCTGATGCTTAGGAGGTGCTTGAGGACCTTTCTTCTTGGTACTGTCTTTACCAATACGTCGCTGTTTCGTTGCAGTGGCTGCGCTAGCCTTGGACTTGACGCCAGATCGCTTGTTTTCATTCTTGATAGACTTCAATGCAGCCGTCTCAGTGCCTGTGAGGACTCGAGGGCACTTCTCGTTGGCATGTGCATTTTCGTGGTCATTTTCGGCAAGAGAGCGTTTGCAAGTGCTAGGACGAGTGACGAACATGATAATGGTGGTTCGTAGTGTTGGAAGAAGGATGGGGCTTGTTCGAAATCTCGGTTATATGTATGTGATCGTGGGACCTCATTAATGATTGAGCGCGACGCGTCGATGCACGTGACCGTGTCTAGCATGTTTAGCGCCCAAGCTCTTGCCGCACTCACACCCTGACCTAACTTGACAGACCGATTATCGTTCCCATACTCCTCTAAGTCAGCTGTGAAGATTAAACAGCGGCAATATGGGATGCTAAATGTTGACGGAAGACGCATTGGCAGAACACAGGAACAAATCAGTCTCAAGAGTCGATCTTCACACCGCTTGTCGCTGACCGTCACAGTGTCGGTCTCGGTGGAACCGCTTGAACGAGCTCATTCTCTTATCCATCAGTCATAATGGATTCCAGCTACAAGAACTCCAAAGAGGCGTTCATCTCGGGTATGGCAGGCTCAAGTATCGGCCACATCAACATGGTGTCTTTAGCTGCGCTGGTGAGTAGCAACAACATTCCAGTAACTACCAGAGTATCTAACTGAACACAGTCCTCTATAGCTCTCTATTCCGCGATGAAAACGCGACTATTTATGAATAAGTCGATGGGCTTTCTAGTCGAATTCGTCATCCTTGTCGTGCCCCTCCTTCTCTCCGTCACGCTCTTTGCACGCTCTCCAGGCCAACTGACTCTCATCTTGCTGTCGCCAACTGGACTTTTACTTCTTATGTCTCGTGGCGGTTCTGGAGTAGTGCTCCCTTCAAGCTCAAATAGTATTCGTGTAACGAAAGGCTCTGGGGAAAGCGGTGCCGCATCCCAAGGAAGGGAAAAGGCCGACAGTCCCCCCGTTCGATCGTTCAATCGTCTCCCTGCCTTGACTACTTACCGGGCACATATGCTATTGTTGACATTCCTGTGCATCCTCGCGGTCGACTTTCCCGTGTTCCCACGCATGTTGGCGAAATGCGAGACGTTTGGGGTTTCTTTAGTAAGCCCACTATCGTTTTCCTCTCGCCTGTTAAGCCCAACAGCATTTTAGATGGACCTTGGAGTGGGGTCATTTGTCTTCTCTCAAGGCATCATCTCTGCAATGCCAGTGGTCAAGAATCCAGCGCACCTGACCGAGCCGCTGGTTGCGAAAGTACTCAAAGTCATAAGGAAATGCTATCCGCTCTTCGTACTGGGCCTATTCCGAACATTATCGGTAAAGGGTGTCGAATATCCGGTACGTCGTCACGCCATAAGAAGGTGTTTCTCGTACTTACCGTGTGTAGGAACATCAAACTGAATACGGCACACATTGGAACTTCTTCTTCACGCTGGGTTTCATTCCCATTCTTCAAGTACTACTTCATCCTCTAATGGTCGGAATCCCGATATCACTGCTGGCCGTGCTGGTCGCTCTGCGTACGTTGTTGTCTTAGTTGCATCTGCTCTGTTTCGTTCGCCCCGTTCACCGACCTTGTACTGGCTTCAGTGCAGCAAGTCGCTCTGAGCAATGGTCTAATGAGCTATGTCTTCAAAGCCCCTCGTGTTAATTTAGTTAGTTCGAACAAAGAGGGTATTGTCTCACTATCTGGTGAGTTGTGTTTAACATGTCCAAGGCAACAATATATCGACAATCCTACTTTAGGCTACTTGGCGATTCACCTTCTCGGTCTCTATACCGGTACCATAGTCCTGCCTCCGTCCCCATCATACTTTCGCCGTTGCCAAAAGGGCCTTTCCCAACCTAAGGACAAGTCCGGCAAACGCCCGACGCACGAGCATGACGAGTCGAAGCGAAAGGTTGACAACATGTCCTCTGGACTGTCATCTGCACAACAAACAAATCGGGAGAACGACAAAACTGCTATCGAACTCTGTGCCTATAGTGTCCTGTGGTGGACCCTCTTAGGCTGCACCATGCTTCTTGATATCGGCGGTGGCGTGTCGCGCCGATTGGTCAACTTGCAGTACATCCTCTGGGTGGCAGCATACAACACGTCCTTCCTCCTTGGCTACTTAGTCCTCGATCTCTTGTTCTTCGCATCACCATCCTCGAGATCGAGGTATTCTCCTTACTCGAAGCTTAAAGTGAAGCCAGATCCTGCTGTGCTGTCCACGAGCGAGCGGACTCTCAGGGCTGCAGCCAGAGCGCCCCCATTATTAGAAGCGATCAATCATAATGGTCTCGTGTTATTCTTACTGGTAGGCTCATAGGTTTTGCACAATGAATGCACTTATGCTTATGCCCATCATAGGCCAACCTCGCTACAGGACTTGTTAACCTAACAATGCCGACGATGTACATGTCAGATCCTGCCGCAATGGCCGTCCTGTCTCTGTATAGCTTGACGATATGTGGCGTGGCCTGGACGAGCAGAAATACCAAACTCTGGACATTTTAGAGCGTCAGGTTTCGTATTGAATACTGGAAAACACGCATAGGTGCCTGGTGTAGGTAGGCACGATTTAGCTGCTCGTTCAAACATCCTTGTTGGTGCTAACGCCCGTCAGTACCTATAATACTCTCAATCGCATACAGGAGTCCGTCAAGATGGGCTATTTATCCCCAACATTTTGTGCAAGCGCAAGCGGTATGCTTCATGTATGCATGATAGGCGGCTGGCAGCTGTTTTTTTGGCTTATCCATATGAGTTACGTGGAGCAATCCATGGATGGCGTCAACAGTCGTCATTCGACCTGTCAGGAAACACTTGGACGATCTTACTGGACGATTCATGACTTCTATGATGGCATCAGTAAATATGGCGTTATATTGCGTTCATCAAAGCGCTTGGTGACGTGTTGCTCGTTTGACCATTCAAGCACCCTTGGTAAGCTGTTTCATCGACCCCGACTTACTCACGCAGTATTCTTCTGCTTATCGTGCGCATCGTGATAAATCACGAAGCTTTCGGGCCTCCGTCGCCTTAAATATATATGGCCCGTAGAGTGTCGTGCTCGGTGATGCCCTGATCTGGTCATCGAGTACCCGCCCAAGCGAAACACAGTCCCCCTTTCCTGCAGTCATGCCTAGCATCGTACTACCACCTGTGCCTCACTACGTTCGACCCGCGCCAACCAAGGAGCCATGTGAGTTGCAGTGTTCTATTGTCCACTAAATACGCAGCTTATCTGTTTCTTGTTCCTCATCGCACTTAGTGGACTATGCCGATCTCATTATATTAGACTTTTCAAAGGTGCACACTCCAGATGGTCGTGCAGAGCTCGCCTTGCAAGTGCGCCAAGCAATGTCCGAGCAAGGCTTTTTCTACATCATCAATCACGGGTATACCCAGGCGCAGGTGAGAGACTCCTTCCCTCTAATCATGACGTGACATTCAAGCATATCACGCTGGGAGAATGATCGCATATTCGATATCGCAGACCTTCCGTTCTCGTCCACGTCGGAAGAAGAGAAGGAAAGGTACGCAGCAAACATAAAAGGTGCCGGTTCCTATCAAGGATATAAGAAACGAGAATTCTGGGTACGTCCAGTGGCTTCCTTCTGTCAAAACCTCCTCGTCAACTCTTCTGCAGTATGTTGACGGCGGCGTCAGAGATCAAATTGAACATTACAATAGTATGTCAAGGTTTTAAAAGACGTCCATCGCTTCTAACGTAGTAGCTTAGTTAACCGTGATGTTACGAGGAAACAGCATCCTGAGGCCCTCCGTCCTCTGCTGCCGGAAATCGAGGCGTTCGCTAAGTTCAATCATTTTGAAGTTCTCCATAACATCCTCCGGTGAGAATGCATTAAAATGGGGGACCTTCGCACGCGACCGATAATCGTACCTGCAGATTATTCGCGCGTGGCATGGAACTTCCAGAGGAGACATTCGTCAACAATCATGACTTCAACGCTTGGGGTGAAACGTACGGTAAGCGCCGTGGCACTTATTGAGTGATCGAAGAATTGACTCGCGGACAGTGCGTTTCATGAAGTAGTAAGTCTATGTGATTCTCTTTCGACCAGGATGACGGACAATTCAATCCAGCTATCCTCGCTCAGAAGAAGATGAGATCAAAAGCAAGAACGTGTGGCTGAAGGGCCATACGGGTAGGCGTCTACTTTCTACGGCGCGTTGCTAAGTACGCTAAACAGATGTTCTATAGATTTCGGGACCGTCAGTATCCTGTGGAGTCAGCCGATCGCCGCGCTGCAAATCCTCTGTGTGGACGGCCAATGGCGTTGGATCAAACACATCGATAACGCGCTAGTACGTATATCGCCACGTTGCAGAACTGTCAATCTCAGTCTCCTCCCAGGTCGTGAACGCCGGGGATGCAATGGAGTTTCTGTCAGGCGGACTGTACAAAGGCACAATTCATCGCGTCGTTCAGCCCCCCGAAGACCAGCGTGGGTATGCGCGTCTGGGGGTATTCTATTTCTGCATGCCGAATGATGACGTGAAACTGGTGCCGTACAAGGAGAGTCCGGTTCTGCAGAGGGTCGGTATACATCGTCGCTGCGATGATGCCGACGCACCTACCATGGAGATCTGGCGCACAAGCAGGACGAGCGGTTATGGACAAGCTGAGCTGCCGAAGGGGGAGGATGGTCATGAGGAGGAAATTGTGAACGGGATCGCGGTGAAGCACTACAACTGACTCATCCTAGTGGAGATACTGGCCCCACGGGGTTATCAAAACATTCGCATTGTACTTCCTATCTGCAGTGAATCGAGTGCCTGTCAACACTTCGGCTGCAGCTGATAGGCCGCATTATCTTCCAGTGACGTCTTCGCCCAAAGCATCCGTTCTTGCAGATGGTTCTATCTTTCGTGTTTAGCGTGCGGACCGGTGGGTTCTGCATGCACTTTCTGATTGAGCCGTTGCTCGGAAAGGCTCAACACCTCAGGACACATTGGATTCCGGTGAGCAATGATTCGTCTCTGCATGCCTCGATATGCACTGGGCGCGTTGTAATTGCTACGAGGTCAGTATGTCCCGTTCAAATCCAGGTAGTAGTGCACTGAATATGACTATGCTTATTCGCCTTCTACTCATAGAACTGCTCTCCCAGAAGAGGAGCACGGCACGACGTTGCATTCGATCGCTCCGTATTGACTTGTGGACGTGACTCTTGTGAAGGGCTGGGCTTGCTGTCCTGTGCTGCAGATAGCAGACTTTCCAGTGGCTTGTCCGCCTCTGGCCCCGTCGCAGTATTTATGCGACCATCGCGGACATCCTGTAGAGCAAGCCTTCTTTTCACTTGCCTAGCCTTTGTTTCGAGCTCACATCCAACATGCCGAGCAGTCTTGCCCCGTTCCTCGTCATGAGAAACTCCCTACCACAACCGAAAGCTGTCAGCACGTTTCTGATATGTGAACACCGTGACCAGCGAATGACTCTATGAATGATGTAGCAGTGAAATGGACGGACCTCTCTATCGTCCATCTTTCCAAAGCGGACACTTCCGGAGGAAGAGCTCAGCTTGCTCTTCAAGCTCGCGATGCCATGTCGAAGGAGTGGTTCTTCTACGTCATCAACCGTGGTTTGACGCAGGCAAGGTTAGGTCCGTTCAGCGAAAGTGCATGGATGGCCGGTGCTGGTAGGTACGATTCTGCTGCTCGTGTGAAATTACCTTGTCGGTGCTAACGCCCGTCAGTGTCTAGAACACTCTCAATAGCATGTCAGGAGTGGGTCAAGATGGGCCATTTATCCCCATCCTTTGTGCAAGTGGCATGCTGGACGTATGCATGTTTGACGGCTTGCAATGTTTTCTTTAGCTTGTCCATTATGAGTTATGTGGAGCACGCTCCTGAATCAGCTATGAGCTATTCACGACAATCCGCGGATGTCAACAGTCGTCATACGACCTATCACGAACCACTGGGCCATCTCAGTGGCTAGTCATCAATTCTGTCATTACTGTATGATGCGGACGTAATCAGTGAGTATGGCGTTATGTTCGGTGCGCATAAAGGTGTGTCATGTGGTAGCTGGGTATGTACGTTGCTGTGCGTCCATCAAAGCGCTTGGTGACATGTTGCTCATCTGACCGTTCAAGCTCCCTTGGTGAGCTCTTCCATCGACCCCAATTTACTCACGCAGTATTCTTCTGCTTATCGTGCGCATCGTGATAAGTCACGAAGCTTTCGGGCCTCCGTCGCCTTAAATATATATGGCCCGTAAGGTGTCGTGCTCGGTGACGCTCTGATCTGGTCATCGAGTACCCGCCCAAGCGAAACACAGTCCCCTTTCCTGCAGTCATGCCTAGCATCGTACTACCACCTGTACCTCACTACGTTCGACCCGCGCCAACAAAGGAGCCACGTGAGTTGCAGTGTTCCATTGTCCACGATACGCAGCTTATCTGTTTGTTGTTCCTCATCGCACTTAGTGGACTATGCCGATCTCACTATCTTAGACTTTTCAAAGATGCACACCCCAGATGGTCGTGCAGAGCTCGCCTTGCAAGTGCGCCAAGCGATGTCCGAGCAAGGCTTTTTCTACATCATCAATCACGGGTATACCCAGGCGCAGGTGAGAGACTCCTTCCCTCTAATCATGACGTGACATTCAAGCATATCACGCTGGGAGAATGATCGCATATTCGATATCGCAGACCTTCCGTTCTCGTCCACGTCGGAAGAAGAGAAGGAAAGGTACGCAGCAAACATAAAAGGTGCCGGTTCCTATCAAGGATATAAGAAACGAGAATTCTGGGTACGTCCAGTGGCTTCCTTCTGTCAAAACCTCCTCGTCAACTCTTCTGCAGTATGTTGACGGCGGCGTCAGAGATCAAATTGAACATTACAATAGTATGTCAAGGTTTTAAAAGACGTCCATCGCTTCTAACGTAGTAGCGTAGTTAACCGTGATGTTACGAGGAAACAGCATCCTGAGGCCCTCCGTCCTCTGCTGCCGGAAATCGAGGCGTTCGCTAAGTTCAATCATTTTGAAGTTCTCCATAACATCCTCCGGTGAGAACGCATTAAAATGGGGGACCTTCGCACGCGACCGATAATCGTACCTGCAGATTATTCGCGCGTGGCATGGAACTTCCAGAGGAGACATTCGTCAACAATCATGACTTCAACGCTTGGGGTGAAACGTACGGTAAGCGCCGTGGCACTTATTGAGTGATCGAAGAATTGACTCGCGGACAGTGCGTTTCATGAAGTAGTAAGTCTATGTGATTCTCTTTCGACCAGGATGACGGACAATTCAATCCAGCTATCCTCGCTCAGAAGAAGATGAGATCAAAAGCAAAAACGTGTGGCTGAAGGGCCACACAGGTGGGCGTCTAGTTGCTATGGCGCTTTGCTACGCTAATCAGATGATTTATAGATATCGGATCCATCACTATCTTGTGGAGTCAGCCGATCGCTGCGCTGCAAATCCTCTGTGTGGACGGCCAATGGCGTTGGATCAAACACATCGATAACGCACTAGTACGTAGGTCACCACGTTTCAAAACTATCATTCTGAATCTCATTCCAGGTCGTGAACGCCGGGGATGCAATGGAGTTCCTATCAGGCGGACTGTACAAAGGCACAATTCATCGCGTCGTTCAGCCCCCCGAAGACCAGCGTGGGTATACACGTCTGGGGATATTCTATTTCAGCATGCCAAATGATGACGTGAAGCTGGTGCCGTACAAGGAGAGCCCGGTTCTGCAGAGGGTCGGTATACGTCGTCGCTGCGATGATGCCGACGCACCTACCATGGAGATCTGGCGTAGAGGCAGGACGAGCGGTTATGGACTAGCTGAGCTGCGGAAGAGGGAGGATGGTCATGAGGAGGAAACGGTGCACGGGCTTGCGGTGAAGCACTACAACTGACTCATCCTAGTGGAGATACCACACCATGAGGTTATCAGAAGTGTGCGCATTCGCATTGTACTTCCTATCGGCAGTGAATCGAGTGCCTATCAGTACTTCGGCTACAGCTGATAGACCGCATCGCATGGATTATCTACCAGGGACGTCTTCATACTCAAAGCATCCGTTCTTGCAGATGGTTCTATCTTTCGTGTTCTGCGTGCGGACCGGTCGGTTCTGCATGCACTTTCTGATTGAGCCGTCGCTCGGCAAGGCTCAAGACTTCAGGACACATTGGATTCCGGTGAGCAATGGCTCGTCTCTGAATGGTCCGAAGTCTTCTGGACACCGCATAATTGCTTTGAGATAGGTATGTCCTCTTCGAATCCAGCAGTAATTTACTGAACCTGATCATGCTCGTTCCTCTTCTCCCTCTATCCGTCGAATTGTTCTCTCAGAAGAGAAGCACGCCACGATGTTGCATTCGATAGCTCTGTATTGACATGTGTACGTGTCGCTTGTGAAGGGCTGGTCCTGCTGACCTGCGCTGCAGATATCAGACTTTCCGGTAGTTTATCCGCCTCTGGCCCCGTCGCAGTATTTACGTGACCATCTCGGACATCTTGTAGAGCAAGCCCTCTTTTCACTCGCCTAGCTTCTGTTTCGAGCTCACATTCAGCATGCCGAGTACAGTCTTCCCCCCCGTTCCCCATCACGAAAGACTCTCTACTACAACCGAAAGCTGTCAGCACGTTTTCTGTTTTGTGAACGCCGTGAGCAGTGAATGACTCCGTGGGTGATACTGCAGTGGAATGGGCGGACCTTCCTATCGTCGATCTTTCCAAAGCGGACACTCCTGAAGGACGAGCTCAGCTTGCTCTTCGAGTTCGCGATGCCATGTCCAAGGAAGGATTTTTCTACGTCATCAACCATGGTTTGACGCAGGCGCAGGTTGGGTTCCATGTAGGCGGTCGTGCACGGGATTGTACTGATGGTGCATTGGGTAGAACGATCGTATGTTCGACATCGCAGACGTGCCGTTCTCTCTCGTTGGAGACGATGAAAAGAAGATATACACTGGTGACTTCGAAAAGACAGGCGTCTATCTCGGATACAAAGCAAGGCAGCATTGGGTACGTGGCTCTCATTTTTCTCTCGTAAGTCAGGCTGACCCTTCACCACAGCACATCAATGGCGGTGTCCGCGACCAAATAGAACAGTACAACAGTATGTCCTCTCCTATGTGACCGGGAGTTTGCGTTTGATGCGTATTTCATTGACAGTGGATCGAGACGTCTCAAAGAGCGAGCATCCGAAAGCTCTCAGGCCATTCCTCCCGGAGATCGATGCCTTCAGCAGATATTGCCACTACGATATCTTGAACCCTATACTCAGGTTCGGACTCACCTCTGTATGGGACTAGCAGTTTCTGAATGTATTGACAGGCTTTTGGCATTGGGGCTCGAGCTTCCCGAGGAAACGTTCGTCAATATCCATGGCTTCGAGGACAACAACGAGACTGCCAGTAGGTCGCTTCTCATTCCTTTCGTAACAGCAGTCGCTGACGATCGGCATAGTTCGATTCATGAAATAGTGAGTACATGCTTTTGATGCAACTGTCAACTGCACATTGATAAGTTACTGATGTGCGGCAACTATGCAGTTTCCCCCGTTCCGAGAAAGAAGAGCTCATCACCGAAAACGTTTGGCTCAAAGGTCATACCGGTATGCAGCTTGTCTGTGGCGGAGGCGAGGGTCGTGTCTGATATTGATATTCTGCGCAGATATCGGCAGTGTCTCCATGCTCTTCAGCCAGCCCATCTCGGCACTACAGATGCTTTCTCCGGATGGAAAATGGCGATGGGTCAAGCACATAGACCACGCTCTGGTATGCTGTCAATTTCCTAGATACGTTGTGCGCACTACTCACGTACGCCATAGGTAATCAATGCCGGAGACGTGATGGAGTTCCTCTCGGGCGGTTTCTACAAGGCGACCATTCACCGTGTCGTGCAGCCTCCCGAGGACCAGCGAGGTTACCCTCGAGTTGGCGTATTCTACTTTGCCAAGGCGAATGACGACGTTAAACTCGTCCCGTTCGCCGAGAGCCCTCTTTTGCAGAGGGTTGGCATCAAGCGGCTGTGCGATGACGCTGACGCTCCGACGATGCTCGAATGGCGCAAGAGCCGAACCAGTGCATATGGTTTGACAAAGCTAGAGAAGAAGGAGAACAATATCGAGGAGGAGGTCATCATTGGGGTCGTTGTGAAGCATTACAACTAGTCGCTTGTAGAACATGAGTATGACTTGTCGGATTTGTTGCACGTCGACTCCGGATAACTGTGTTCATTGGTTCGACAGATCATGGTGATATCGAATAACTGTTGGTAGCAAATATTGGAAGTGTTCGCTTCTTTTTGCATTTTGATTTGAATGGGACGAGTAGGACTCCAGCGGCTGTGCGCGGTGCAATTTGAACTCCGACGCGTTCATTTAGATAGTATCACATCGGGAGTTTTGTCATTTAATCCGGGAGAAAAGTACAGACAAAATTTGAATTGACCAATGAGATCCGCTACAATAGTACTTTTGTCCCGGATTAAATGACAAAACTCCCGATGTGTATGGATTGGATGTAGACGACGCGCATATCTTGTCCGGGTTATTGCATTACACTACAAACATGGTACAATAAAATCGCACCCAAAAGTCTGTACAAAATCCCGATTCATTATTTATCCGCGGTTTCATCTATTCTTCCACGGTTTCAACTAATTACCCAAAGATTTTTATAGACTTTTGCGTGCGATTTTATTGTATCGTGTTTGTAGTGTTATGCACCGTCGTCTCTTGGGAAAATTGAAGCTTCCGGCACTCACCAAGCGGAAGGCTCGGCCAGCATGGCCCGAAGAACCCCTCGACCTTGGTACTGATGCCAATGCTGGCTTCTTCCCTGCTCAGCTGGGCACTGTGCTGCATTCATCTTATACCGTGGTGCGTAAATTGGGATTCGGCCAACATTCCAGTGTTTGGATGGCGAACGATTCTAGGTGAGTTGCTTCAATATGAGGCATCTCGTCCTCACTGATTTGAAGGGCCCAGTGTGGCGTTGCTATTAAGATCTTGACCGCCCACGCCACTCTCATGCAAGGATCCGTCGCCTGCGAGCTCCCCATCCTGCGGCTCGTTGCGAAGGCTCAGGGTCATTCAGATACCGAAACGCATCTCATTAAATTCAAGGATACGTTTAATGTTCAAAGCTGTCATGGCGAGCACCTGTGTCTTGTTACGGAAGTCTTAGGCAGTTCCTTTAAGGCCTTCTGCGTGCATCTGGAGGCAAAGTTCCCATTCCCGTCGCAAAGGAGATCACACATCAGCTTCTCATTGCTGCGAGGAACTTGCATGCTCTTGGTATTGTCCATACAGGTAAACAATGTCCCTCACGCCGCCGAAAGGTCTATGTGCTTACACAGGCCGTTCCAGATATCAAGTTCGACAACATGCTGGCTGTTATCGATGACATCGAGTCTTTTCTCTCACACCAGGCCAAGTCTTCACCGCCTCAAATTGAAACACTTGATGTGTCTGCCTTCCCTGTCCCGCCGGTCATATCACAGCCGCTGTCAACTGCACGAGATCTTTCGGACAATTGTTCCATCCCGATTTTCAAGTTGACTGATTTTGGTACTAGTATGTGTTATGTTTCTTTCCAATTGATCTTGTTGCCTATACCTTCTCTTCGTAAAGGTGCTTTTGTCGATGGATATCACTCAGACATTATCCAGCCTGTTGCTCTTCGTGCTCCAGAAGTTGTCATAGGATGTGGATGGGATAAGAAGGCGGACATTTGGAGTGTTGGGTGCTTGGTGAGCATACAATACTAGTATGATCCATTTTTACCTCAACTGACTTGTCCTTTCAGGTTTTCGAAATGCTAACTGGTAACTGGCTGTTTAATCCAAGACCAGTCGGATCATGGTCGGCAGATGCATAGTGAGTTTCACAGTTGTCACAGTTATAAATTACTGATCATATCTGCAGTCATCTTGCTAACATTGTACCTATATGTCAAGAGATGTTTGAGCTGACCTGGGCTAGTCAAAGTTCACGTTTTAAAGACCTGTTCACTGATAATGGTATGTGAAACTATGTTTCTGTTGTGGAGCTAGTTGTTGAGCACCTTTTGGGTAACTGTAGGCAAGTTTAGACTCGCTCTTATCACAAACTTAGGACGCAGAGTGCCGACTAAGCCTATGACCTTATGATCAAACACTTACTGACTGTTGTCGACGTAAGGATGGACACAAAGAGGATCAAGATAAAGCAGTGCCTTGCAAGTGAGCACTGGTAACACTGTATGGATAGGTGTAGCAGAGATGAGAATAAGTCTGGGGGACTTATGCGTCTCAGAGCTCTGGCTTATATACATGAGTGGAGGGACCCTTGGTACCCTGATACCCCAGAACCGCTAGCTAATGGACATTGTCTGATTGGTTACCACTACCTGTCAGACTACGTGTGTCATGCATGCCGAATCTCCGAACTACTTAGTAAGACCATGGGAATGGTATTGCCTGTAATGGCTACATCTTCGGTGGCGTGGTATCTATCTACCTCGTGCATGTGAACTAATATCTTCTTAAGGACATATCTCCGGTGTCGTGTATCCTCTTCGTTGGATTCTTCCGGAGTCCGACCGTTGCTTCTAGGTGAGATGATATTACTGTATAAGTTAGGCTTACCTAATACCAGCGCTACTTGTCACATGTGTGGATATCACGTGATATGTCACGTGACTAGACCTGGACCTTTGGGGCATCTAGGACTATTAGTACTTCGCGTACCGGTTCGTTCCTTTCTGAACAGCCTAGCGCTGATGTCAAATGATGTCTTGGTCACATGCAGAGGTGAAAACGTGAAAATCTGTGACAGTACCCCCCCTTCTAGACAGTTCGTCCCGAATCTGGCTTTTTGCGTGGTTTCTGGAAGTAATTATCGCCTGTTGAACCAAATCCACGGTGACCTCGTGCTGAGGGTTTGAGGTGATCAACTAGTGAAACGACAGGGGTGACAATACGTTCAATGATAAGTTGAGCAACTCGATCGCCCAAATTGACTATGAAGTCATCATTTGTATTATTGATTAGCAAAATCTTCATTTCGCCTGTGTATCCTCTGTCGATAACACCAGCTCCTACGTCGATGCCTTTGACAGCTAACCCACTTCATGGTGCAATTCGACCATAGGTCCCTCGAGGTGTTGTAAAGTGAAGTCCTGTAGATACCAATCCTCTTGAGTGTGCTCGGATGGTTGTTGGTTCTGATGCAGCTAAATCCATTCCAGCATCGTCTTCATGGGCATATTTTGGTGCGTGTGCATTTGGATTGTCTAATGTAATTTGAAGATCTCTAGAATGATCCCAATCATCTCTATCCTGATCGTATATCTGAATGGTATCAGTGGCGGGGTCGTAGACTTGACCTGTTCTCCTGGGTGGAAAAACACCATCGACCGGAGTTGTATCAATGAGAGATATTGATTGAGGTGCGTCAGGATATTTCCTGTGAAATTCCTTGATGAGACGCGGAGATTTCTTCAAATTTGCTGCGGGTTCCCAAGTTTCTTCGGCTTTAGAATAACCCTTCCAATGCACCAAATATTGAAGTTTGCCACGAATGACACGAGAGTCGACTATGTATTCAACTTCCCATTCTTCGCCAGTCTTCTTCTTGATAGGAGGGCGGGGTCTGAGAGTGCGGTCTGGTATTTCATCTTTGTGGTAGAGCGTGAGCTTGGATGCATGAAAAACTGGATGAACGCTGTATTGTCGCGGCATTTTGAGTCTATATGTGACTGGTCCTAGTTTTTCTACGATTTCAAAGGGTCCATCTCTCCGTTGTGCCAATTTGGCTCCCGATGTCTGCCAATCTTTAGTGGAGAGTAATACTTGATCTCCAACTTTGAAAGGTGCGGGTCGTACAGATTGATTGTAGTACCACTTCATGCGTTCAGCCACCAATAGAATGGCTGCTTTTGCTTGCTCTTGCGCTTCTACTCGTGCCTGCATTATGGAATCTAGCGTATTATGCTTTATAGGGTCCATTATTGTTGGTTCTGCACGTGGGTGTCTACCGTATTCGACAAAGAATGGTGAATTCTTAGTGGTTTCAGAAGCCTGATTATTATAGGCGAATTCAGCAGTTGGAAGTAAAGTACTCCAGTCTTTCACGCGTTTATCAGTATAAATACGAAGATATTGCTCTAGCGACTGATTTGTTCTTTCAGTTTGACCATCGGTCTCCGGATGATATGCGGATGACATTGTTGATTGTATTCCAAGGAGTTTGCATACTTCCTGGAATAATGAGCTTGCAAACTGAGTACCTCTGTCCGAGATAATCTGTCTCGGAAGACCATGCTGTGTCCATACCCTCTCATAGAAAGTACGAGCAAGGTCTGACGATGAGAACTCATTGGTGATTGCAAAGCAATGCGCTCGTTTGGTCAAACGATTGACAACTACCATAATCGCGTTGAATCCATGGAATTCTGGTAATTGAGTGATTAAGTCGACAGAGACAATTTCTCAAGGTTCTGTTGGGACCTCATTTGGCTGTAATTCTCCGTATTTTGGCTGATTGATGTTCTTGTTGCGTTGACAAAGGTCGCAAGAACCAACATACTGTTTGACGTAAGTGGACATTCCCGGCCACCAGTAATTACGAGATAACATCTCATATGTCTTCCATCTTCCAGGATGACCTGCACTGGCAGCTTCATGATGACGCTGAACGATTTCTCGTCTAAGTGATTCCTTATTATCTGCTTTCGGCACATAGATTTTGCCTCGGTATAGTAATATCCCACTTTCGAAGTTCCAGTCTTCGAGTCCTTTTGAGAACTCTCGTTGTCCTTTCTTGAGTAGTTCTTAGTATGAGTTGTTCACATTGTCGTCTTGTAGTGCCTCCTTGATCTTGTCCACCAAATCATGATCTGTGACGACTGCAAGATGGGTATGTTGAATAGCTTTAATCACGAAATATTCCGGTTTGAGCAGAGTTTTGTCAGAATTATCGAGATTTACCCCCTCTTCATGATCTGGCCTCCTGGACAGAGGATCCGTGCGATGCATTGATTTTCCTGGTTTGTGATGTAGTTAGATGTTGAACCGTGTGAGATATAGCGACCATCGAGCTTGCCGCCTCGTCAGCTTTTGTGCTGATTTGAAATAGGTTAAGTTCTGGTGATCGGACCATATTTCTACTGGGAGCGGATGATGACCTTCGAGATGTTGTCGGTATTCTTCCAACGCTCGAATGATTGCGAGCATCTCTTTGTCATAGATTTCATAGTTCTGCTCAGCCTCATTGAGGCTTTTTGAATAGAATGCGATTGGATGCCACAACCCATCGTCTTTGAGTTGTTCGAGGCATGCGCCAGTGGCAAAATCGCTGGAATCTGTTTCTAACCGGAATGGATGCATATCATCCGGTAATGCCAGAATTGGAGCTGTTGTAAAGGCTTTCTTGAGAGCATCGAATGATTGTTGTTGCTCTTCGCTCCATACCCATTTCTGATCCTTTCGTGTAAGGATATTGAGTGGTCGAGACTTTTTGGCAAATCCTTCAATGAATCGACGATAGAAATTTGCGAACCCAAGAAAAGCTTGTACTTGCTTAACCTTCTTGGGTTCAGG